ATTTGAAAAAAAATTAAGGCAAGGTAGGGACAGGAGCAGACTTTTCATACTCTCAATAGCTGGAACAGAGGGAGTCAGTGGTTCTCAGTATTGGGTGATTTTGCCCTCCAGGAGGCATTTGGCAATGACTGGAGACATTTTTCATTGTCACAACTAGATGTGGGGAGAGGGTTGCTACTGGCATGTAATGAATAGAGGCCAGGATGCTGCTCAGTATCCTACAGTGTGCAGAACAGCCCCTTACAATAAAGAATTATTCAGTCTAAGATGTCAGTGGAGCTGAGGTCAAGAAACCCTGCAGTGAGTGAGGGGGAAAGGAACAGGAAAGATGGCCAGTGGTAAATGCCAACCAAAGAGCCAGAGTTTTTTGACAGTGGGGAAGCTGATTCAGAAATTGTTACGGAAAAATATGTGAAACCAACTAAGGGGGAAAATGAAAAAGAGGAATAAACCTTAAAAGATCTTAACGTTTCCTGACAAACGACTAATTTCTTTAATATACAAAGAGTTCTTTAAAATGAATGTGCGAAGGTATTTCTTAAAAACTTGGGAAAATGGGCAAAAGGCAGGGATGCCACTGGATTATAAACATTTGGAAAATATTCAGCATTACAACTTAAAGAAATACATGGCTCCGGGTGTAGCTCAGTGACAGGGCATATGCTTATCATGCATGAGGTCCCAGCACCACCAGGAAAATAAGACAAAGAATTACAAGTAAAAGTCATGAGATGTCATTCAGATGAGCAAAGATTGTGACTTAGTACAGAGTGGCTAAGGTTACATAAGAGCAGGGCTCATCCCCAATTCTTGAGAATATGCATTAGTTTAGCATCTCCGGAAGGAATTTGACAACATCTATCATAGAATTAAATATGCATCTCTTGACTCAGCGGGTCATTCTAGGAAAGTATTATTCACACACAGGTATGCAAAGATATATACACAGATTTGTTTATGACAGCATTAGTAATATACCAGAACAACCTAAATGCCCATCAACAGGGGATTTGTTTATTCTACAGTACATACTTACAGTGGGATACTGCACAACTTTAAACAAACTGAGGCTTGCTCATAGGCGCACATCCAAGAGAAATAAAAACATATGCCCACAAAAAGACTTGTACAGAGATATTTATAACAGCTTTATTTATAATGCCCCCTAACTGTTATGGCCCAAATGTCCACCAACAGAAGAATAGACAAATTGTGTTATATTCATACAATAGAATACTACTTAGCAATGACAATAAAAGGAATGATAAGAAACACACAGCAACAGGAATGAATTTCAAATGTATTTTGGTAAATAAAATCAGACATATATAAAAGTATCCATTTTATGATTCTTTATCTATGAATGTCAACTGACAAACCAGTCTCTGCTGACGGAAATCAGACCCTGCTTGCCCAGAAGAGAAACATTAGTGGAAGGGGCAGGTAGAATTCTGGGAGAGAGTGATAGAATCGGGGTATTAATTACATGGTATATGCATTTGTCAAAATTATTGGATTGTACACTTAATGTCTATGCTATTCACTGAATTTAATTTTATCCCAACTTAAAGACAAAATTAACTGTTGAATGAGAAAGATACTAGCCCAGCTTAATGTCTTAAAATAGAATGATCTTCAAATGAATAATTAAGTGCAGAGTGGAGGGATAGAAGCTAAGACAATACACATACAGTACACTCCATTATGTAACAAAGGGACTATATATCTTTACCTAATCTTCATATATGTACTGTTTCTAGGAGGATATGTAAGAAACTATTGACATTGGTTGTCTTTCTGGAAGGGACATGGGGAACTCAAAGTCTGAGATGGGAGGGATATGTCTCAATATTTTTTGTAATTGTTGGAATGTCTGGTATTCTGTTCATATTAAATTTTTATTATTAAACATAGTTTAAAATTCTTGATTGGATAAAAATATGTTCTGAGATTGAATTTCAGTATTTTTGTACCCTTGAGAGCTGGAATCGGGTACGCTGCCAGCAGGAGGTGGCTGTGGCTCTGTTGGTGAATGTGTGCACTTGGGCAGTGTGTCAGGAAAACACATGGAAGATGTCACTGGGGCAAAGAAGTGAGTTCCTGAGTCGTGGCTCAGGATACAAGTAAAATAAACTAAAAATCTGATTGAAAAGATTTCACCCTGAAATGCCAAGCTTCTGGTTGCATAAGGTAAAAGCTTATCTCACAAAGTGCAAGATTCATCTGTGTGAAACTTTTTTTTAAGGTGACAACATTAAGTTTCTCTTGTAGGTTGAGAGATGAAGCTTTTAAGAGACTGTAGGACTGGGTGAAGACTACCTGGAAGGAGGTATTCTGCACCAAGAATGGGACAATGAGGTGTAGCTTTTAACCAGATAATCCAGTATTTGGTCTTTACTTTTACAAATTAAGACCATGCCATCAAAGGTCTTACCAAGACCATTCTCACTCGTTTTGAGGACTGGGCTCTGTGGCAGTGGGTTAATGTCCTGTTTGGGGTCCAGAGCAAAAGCTCATGGACAGTGTGTGAGAGGTCCTTAAAGGAGACAAGACTCCACCTTTACCAGGCAGATGCCCCATTCATCAGCCGTGCCAGACTTGGACACCCTGGTGCTTGCTCAAGGAAGACCTGAGCCTGCCTTTGGGAGCTCCTGATTTAGGGATCAGATGGTAAGCAGCCTGCGGGCTGGGCCTTTGCAAGAATCTTTATAGAGTCATAAGTCCCTGAGAAAAATGTTAAGAGAGCATCCCTGGTCAGAATCATCATGTGTTCAGCTAACCTTGGGTCCTAATATCTGCTTCAGTCTAAGAAGAGAGAGGTGGGGGACCAAGGTTAGAACCTCTTTACAAAGTGTTAGAGGCAAAACATGGATGGGGGAAGGCCTGAGATGGCCTTCTGCAAGCAGCTGAGCCTTGGATGGGAGCAGAGTGGGTACATGGAACAGGCTCTGAGCTGAGACTGCATGGGAAATGGGGGTGGGGGCAGGACAAGGGACTGTATCTGACACAAGCAAAAGGTCAACTGAGCAGGGGGTGACTCTGGGAAAAGGCCCTAAGAGATCCTTTAGTCTAGCCTCTTGATGATGGAAACTCAGGCTCAGAGAACAGACTGTCTTGTTTCATATCAGATGTTAGACATGAGCTTGGTCTACCCCTCAGAGGCAGCCTGGTCTTTTGGAGTACAGGCATTGCTGAAGCTCTTGACCAGACAGATGCATGCTCTCTTGCTACTTAACAACATGTTCCTCTTGAATTCCATTGAAAGCGACCACTCACATGGCTTAGAATGATAATACCAGATACTTCCCATCACCTACCCAGCAGCTTTCCCCCACCACACCTGTCACAACCTATATTTTTTAGTGGGTGGAAATCCCTTGATTTCAGAAAACACAAACCAATTCCTTAACTCCAGGAAATAAGTCAATTGATCTCATGGTATTCCACCTCTCCTTGTCAATGATTGTTCAAAAGGTGGGTGTGTGATCCAGCTCTCACCAATAAGACACAGAGAGGAATCTGCCCGGGACTTCTGAGGAAGGTCGTATTTTTCTGATGAGAGGGGAAGAGGTACTTTGGCACAGTCAGGCCCCACCCTGAACCCCTTTCTTTCTGCCTTAAAGAGAGATGTGTGTGTAGGCTTAGCATCCAGCATGAGGGTGAAAGTGTGATCCCCTGAAGATGACAGTGGAGTAGAGCCCAAGTCTTTGTTGGCTTAAATGAGCCACTGGACAGTGTACTCCCAAACTTCTGTTAAGTAAACACTAAACAACTCTATGCTTTCAGCCACTGTATGTTGTGTTTTCTCTCATTTGCAGTCAAGAGCATTTCTCATTACCATAGGCCATAAATGTGAGTACAGTTCCAGAATGCAGGAGGCGTTACTTAGGAACAGCCTTTGCTCTGCCCCATCAGCTATGGGCTTGGCCTGAGACTTCCACCCAGCCTCATGAGCCCTCTATCAGATGCTGTCTGCTAGAGTCCTCCCCTTCATACCTGGTTATTCTACTCATCTTGCAGTGCCCGCCTGGAATGATCTTTACTGACCGTGCTCACTACTATCATGTGTGTGCCTCTGACCACATGGGTCAGTCACTTAGCAGTCACACTCATCATGGGCCAGCCAGAGTGCTGGCTGTATATCCAGAGGGAATCCAAGCCCCATCTTTATGCTTTTGTCTTAGGGCAAGGACCAGCTCAGCCTAATTCAGCACTGTCCTGAACACATCTCAGAGGAGACAACAGAAAGGGACTCATGTTCAGAGCTCTGCAGGCGGGTCCTTGGGCCAGCCATCTTTCCCCACAAGTATCAGAAAGCCAAAGCTCTTGATGGTTTAAAGGAAGGAGCAGTGGGTGTGGTGCCAGATCAATTTTTGTTGGAACCACAACTGTTGCTAACTTGATGTGTAACTTAGGACACATCCATTGGCCATTGTGAACTTTGGTTTTCTTCAATGACGTGAAGATAACGACTTCCTGTCTCACAGGGCTGCTGCAAAGATCTAATAAGATAACTAGTAGATTCTCCAGGTATAGAAAGGCCTAGCACCCAGGAGGTGGACAGAGAATAACTGTTCATTCAGCCACCTCCCCTGCTGCCTACCCCTTAGCAAGAAACCAGAGACAAATCAGCCCGCTGGAAATTTCCGTGGGAGACAGAGCATAATGAGGGCAAGACTTCAACAGTATGGTCAGGAATCGTCTCTCCCAAGGAACTAAATACACACCTGGTCTTTGATGGGCTTTCCTTAGGTTCCCATACTATCTCCTGCCCTAAAAAATGCTTGCCATGGACCTCATCTCTCTGCCACTAACTCTTTTGACAATATAAGGAGGAAGGAAGGACAGCAGGCAGGCAGGCAGGCAGGGAGGGAGGGAGGGAGGGAGGGAAAGGCGAGAGAGAGAGAGAGAAAGAGAGAAAGAAAGAAAAAGAAAGAAAGAAGAAAGAAAGAAAGAAAGAAAGAAAGAAAGAAAGAAAGAAAGAAAGAAAGAAAGAAAAAAGAAAAAGAAAGAAGACAAAGAAAAGAAAGAAAGAAAAGGAAGGAAGAGAAATTCAACAAGAAGGTGGTTGCCTGTCATGTCTCTCATTCTCATAGGGGGTTCCGAGAGTTTCCATGGCCACTCTGAAGTTATTGCCTGTAAGTTCAGGTAGATTAACCCACCAGGTAGGCAGTATGGTTTAGGGACCACCAAGCACTGCTTGTTCTCAATGATGCTCTGTTGCTGCTAGGCCTGGCTACAGCAGCCAGTCAACACAGTGGGGGAGATTTCCCAGCAGAGCTCAAACTCCAGCTAGACAGCTAAACTCTGAGGTGGTCCAGCCACTGGAAATTAATACTGCATCCACTCTGCACCTACAGGTGAGGGAGGACCTAGGGACTCCACAGTGCCCATACTCAGAGTGTGGCCCTGGCTGTACGGAACTGGTGAAAAAGCATTTCCCCCAAAGAACCAAACTGAGTTTCCTGTGAGAAAAGAAGGGGGCCTTGGGATTTCAGCTGCTGCTGGCCCAGACAACAAAGGGATCTAGGGATTGAAGGAGGCTAACTGGAGAGTTGGGGAAGGGGCCCAAATTGTTAGTTCAAAGAGGGGAGCTGGTCAGCCAAGAGTGAGCTGTACGAAGGGAGGCAGGTGTCGCCGTGAAGTTGGCGCTTCAGATTGCTCATCCTTTCGTGGTGGTGCCATACCAGGATCAGAGAGTCTCCAGAAGGTCACTCCAGCAGTGGACGGCTGCCCGAGACAAGATGTCCTGTCCTGTCTGAGTAGTCCCCTTCAGAACGACAGATCTGAGGCAGCCAGAGACACAGGCACTGCCACGCTATTTCCTCAGCCTCCATCCTGGGGCTCTAACACCCATGTGGATGCCTGGGACTAAGCAGGTGAGAACCAGAGCCCAGCACTGGCAAGCCTGGGGCCTGCCCAAGGCGTCATGGTACAAGAGCCTGTGTTCTGGTTCCTCTCCTGCCTCCCAGTCCCCAGGAAAATGGATCCCACACCTCTTGAGAGGATCTCGTCACTTCTGAGCCTGCCCGTCACCATCTCTGACTCTAGCCCTGAAGGAAGAAGTGACCCCCGTTGGCTGAGTCTTGGTGGGGTGTGGACATGAGTGAGTCACTCTGGGGTGCAAGCCCCAAAGCTCTGTGCGAGGTGTACTGGAAAGGTCAGAGTCCTCAGGAGGGTGCAGGCCGTGTGCATGGTCTTGTGGCTCTTCCTAAGTCTTAATATGTGTCATGTTAGCCCAGTCAGGGAAATGATCCAAGTCAAATATGACCCGTCCCCAGGTGTTGACAGACAAAAACACACACAAGACTCCAATTACATTCATCATTAGTCCTGTTTTCACCTGGAAAATAAAAATAAATAAATAAACAAACAAACAGGGTCAGAGTCAGCACCCCAGGGTATGCCACTTTTTCAGAACAAAGGCAAATGGGACACTTGGCGAGATGGATAAAGGGCCGGTACATGGGGCTTCGATGTCCCTGTGCCACGCTCTGGGATTTCCCTACTCCCGGACAAGGCAACCTCATGTCTGTTGTCATTGGTGCTCAGAGCACCCGTGGGAGGGAGGTGGGACAGAGGTTCTCCGTGCCCATTTTAGTACTGGAAAATGACCTCAGGGGGGTGACATGGGGCATTATCTACTCCGGCAAATCATGGAGGAGCTTGGGGGTGTGACTCTAGATCCAGTGCTTACCCTTGTGACGTTAGTGTCCCACAAAGATGTTGTGGCATCCTTGTGACTCCCTTCTGGTTCTTTCTGATGCCCATTCTGCATTCTTTCTTAGTGCAAATAACCACTACTTGAATACCTCATTGTAAAGTTTTTTACTGGGGACTGGCATCTGGCCTCTTTGTGAAAATGTTTCATGGCGTCTCAGAGATACTCAGCAGAGTATCTGTGATAATTAACAACTGGTTGGTCTAAGGTAAGACCTTTATTTCCAGCTTCTCTGGCTTATGTACTTTCTTTGTCCCTGACCCAGAGCTGCAAAGATGTCTTTCTTCTATTAGAGGCAATAAAGCCAAACCTGTCATGGAGGTTCTTTCTGGGACTCTATTTGTCTCTTACCTTATCTGCTCTCAACAGTGGTCTCTTTCCCTTCATGTGCCTACCTCTTCAGACACCTCTACAAGTATCTCAACTGTCATTAGCATTTCCTCTCAACTTAAGCCTCACCCCTCCTGACCATCTTCAGGGTTCTTGTTCGTGAAGCCCGTCCTTGACCATGGGGTTCCCCTGGTGCCTGCACAGCTTCAAAGGGGGGAGATTCTGACTCCCACTAAGGAGACAGGACAGCCTGTGAAGGTTAAGATCATTTCAAAAAAGAAGAAGAGCTCCATTATAAATGCAAATTACGGGTATAGCTCCCGACAATCCATGGTATTCTCAAGTCACATGCCATTCTTTTGATGCTCACACATCAGTCATATATATGTGCTGCCGAAGTGAGCACTCACACATCAGTCATAAATGGGGCATCCCTTCTACCAATAGCATCAGAGTCTGAGAGGAGTAAATAAAAGCAGTTGTGTTACCATGTCAGAAACTTTGAGGTGTCCGTAGGCAAACACGATGGCATTAGGCGGGGTGGCCACAGGCAACATGAAGGCAAAGGATGCACTCAGGGTACAGGGGAGCATGACGTACAGTGGATTGAGGCCGATGGAACGAGACTGGGAAGAAACAGCATTGCAGCTCACAGCACAGAACACAAAAAAGGTTGCAGGGCCATAATTCAGTAAAGTATTCTCTGAAGGCTGAGGGTAAATTCCAACCTTCACACCTTTGTCTTGCTGGTTCCTCCGCCTTTTGCCAGTTAATTCTCTGGCAGATAACTATTCTGAATACTGATACCTGAGCTGAGAAGCCGCCTCCCCTGAGAGGCCTTTCTGAATCCCCTAAATTCATTCAATATATATATTTCTTGGGCACCTGCTATGGCCTAGAGACCATGCTGGACACTACAGTGCACTGAATCTTCGGGTGTTATATGTGTGTATCTCTCCTGTCACAGATTGAGAGATCCTGGAGGAGCATGTCTTATACGTATGCATCTATAGGTGTCTGTTTTTATATACTTGGGATTGTTTTGCATCTAGAACTTGGTATCCACCTTTTTCATACTCCATTTTATAACTCAGCTACATCAACAGCACAGAATAGGCACTCGTTAGATATTTGTTAAAGAAATAATGAATAATATAATTCCTAATATCTATCAAAATGAATCCTTATACAGAGATACATGCACATAAGGGCATACATATATATGCAAAGATGTTCACTGCAACAGTGTAACAACAGAGCACAGGAAACAGATCAGTGGCCATCAACAACAGTATGGTTAAGTAAATTATGGTACATACAAACAATGGAATGGTATGCAGCTATAAAGAAGAAATAGGCTTTGTGCTAATATGGAAAAATCTCCAACGTCTATGTGTACATTCAAAAGAAACAAATTAAGGTCTATATAACATGTCCATAGATTGGTCCCATTTATTTGAAAAGAATGTGTGTGTGTGTGTGTGTGTGTGTGTGTGTGTGTGTAATATACCCAAAAAGATTGTCTAAAAAGTTAATAACAAGTTGTTTCTAGGGAGGAAGCTGGAGGAATAGGGTCTGTACACTTCTTTGTATCATAGACATTTTAAAGTCATGTATGTGTATGACATTTTCAATGTGAAACAATCATAACTTGAACACGTTTTCATTTTATTAATGATTATTAAACAATCTTCCAAACAGATTTTAGAGGCTGGATGGTATTATATTATATAAGCATGTGATCATTTATTTCACAATCTCAATTATTATAAGTATATTTAAAATAAATAATTCTGTCCTATAGATCATTATAATTGTGCTTGTAGGCATTATTTTCTTAAGACATTCTCCCAGATGTGCAATTGCTGAGTTAAAATAGTACAAGCGGGCTGCACCCCGTTACACACCCTTGGAGTAGCTGAGAGGTCCCAGGCAAGTCCAGGCTGCTTCCTGGTCCCTCCCCATCCCCATTTTCCCTGCCTTTGGGTACCACATGGCATATGCACTCCCCCTTCCTCTGTGACACTGCTGGATGTCCAGTCTTTCTCTTTCCTACAAGCGGGTTCCCAGGCAAGAGCAGGAGAGGACTTGGAGGTAGGCCTGGGGAGTCTTCAAAGGACTCGGCTACCCCTTTGAATGAAGACTTGCATCTTCTGGTTGGGGCCATTGGTGTTCATAGTAAGAGCTAGAGATGGCAATGCCTGAGCCTCTGCTCAGGAAAAGGAATCATCCCCACCACATGTTCAGCATCAAAAGACCCCTTTTCCTCCTTCCCCTCTTCTTTCGCTTCCTCTTTCTCCCCTATTCCTCCTCTTCCTCACCATTCCCTCCCTCTTCTCTTCCTTTTCTTTTCCTCTTCCTCCTCCCCTTCTTCTTTGGCCTCTGTCTGGCTGGCCTGCTTAGGTGAGGAGGAGACAGCCACCTTACTAATTTTAACACTTTCATCTTCACTTGGAATGGCAGAAAAACCACTTAGGCTTGCTTTTTATGCATGTGGAAGCCCAGGCAGCCAGATGGAAATTTACTAATCCTAGGGCCCTGTTCAGGCCCTCTGTGAGTCTGTCTCCCTACTCCAAAATAATTATAGCCTCTCCCAAGCTCCTGTGCAGTCTGCAGAGGCTTTTCACGGGTCTCTTCTTATAGACCCTCAGTGCACCTCTAGGTGGAAAAGAATTCAGTGGCACATTTGGGGAGCTCATGTCTTCTGTGTCTAAGCCCAGGGCTCTTCCCACACCACCCTGAGGTCAGTACTGCTTTCCAGTGAATGACAGGAGACAGGAAAAAGGATGGCAGTTCATTTTCCTATCAGCTCTGTTCTCTTCTCGATCCCAACTCAAAATCCTGCCTGCCCATAGAACAAGACACTGTAGCTAACACTCAGCAACCTTCTCCTCCCGCACGAGTGCCCTCTTGGCTCAATTCATGCTGGTCTCTCATCCCTAGGCTCTCCAAGTAAGCCTTCTGGAGTCTTCAGTCACGCCCGCCATCTCCCTCACCAAATGCCCTCTCTCTCACTCACACCCGAAGCTCACCTCCTCCAAGTCCTCTTCCTGTGGGTCTCAGTCAGTGGCGTTCCCAGGAGTGCTCTACAGTCCTCGTACAACATGTTCCGAGCATTGGCCTCTCCTCCTTGGCACAAGCCCTGCCTCCCCAGCTTGCAAAATCATCCAGTTAGGGTTACACTCTAACATTTGAGTTCCTGGTCTGTTTTCCACTTTACAACAGGGGGAGTATAAAGAGATGCCAGCAAACCAGTAAGGGCCTCAGGACCCAGGTGGTCAAAGGTGCACAAGTCAGAGCCAGGGCCAGACTCTGGTCTCTAAACCTGGCACCTGATTTCATGCCCTCTCTAATGACCCAGGATATGGCCAAGGCTGACAGCTCCCTGTGAAATGACTCCCCCGCCCATAACAGAGGTACTTACCATGGAGGCAAAGATGGGCAAGAACAGGGTGGTGGTGGCCACATTGCTTGTGCACTCAGTGGACACAGCAATAAGCAAGGATAAGATCAGGGTAATGGCTGCAGGGGACACACTGCTCAAGGGCTCCATCTGCTTCCCCATCCACTCTGAGAGCCCCGAGGCCTGAGAAGAACAGGAAGGGCAGTCACTTCAGGACTCCTGACCCACAGGCTCTCCAGGGGCAGAGGTGGTGGAGTGGGGAGCTCAGCCCATCCTCTACTCCCAATTTTCTCTCTTGCATCCATTTAAAGTGATATCAATCACTCCATAGTTTCAATCTACATCCTCACCTTGCCATTTCCTAAAGCTTGATTTCTAGCCTAGCAGATCTATCTGGATTTAAACATCCACATGCCTTCTAGAAATTTCCCATTAGCACATCAGACTCAACATGCCCCCAGTCATAATTCCTTCTCTTTAGCTCAAAGTCTGTGTCTCCTCAGAGATCCCCAGTCTATCTACTGCTTTTCAACCCAGGGGGCTGGGAGTCACACTGGGAAGTCTGTCCTCCTCATTCCTTATATTCAACCAGGCACCCAGAATATCTCACATCCATCTTCTCCTCGTGGTCCCCTATGGCTCTCAAAGCTCAGAAGAATGATTTGGGCCAGCAACTGGGGATTTAGATTTGGTCTTTGGACTGAGAAAGATTGTCCAAGGAGAGAAGGGAAAGTACATAGACAAAAGGTTAAGGACAGAGCCTTGCAGAACATCCATATTTAAGGGGAAATAGAGGAAAGATCAGCAAAAAAAAGAAAAAGGCTGAGCAGGAACAAAATCAGAAGGAAAGCCTGAGAAAGTAGTGTCTTAGAGGCCAGATGAGAGTGGGGAGAGCTTAAGGAGAGAATATCCCCATGCGATCCAACTTCTGTGGCTGAGTTAGGTGAAGATTACAAAGATGCTTCTCTTCCAATCTCTACCTACCCCAGAATTCCATGTCAGACATCAGAGGAATATTTATCAAGTGCAGATCTCACTAAGTCACTCCTGGCCTTTGCCCTTCAGTGCTTCTGTACTGCCTTCAGAACCAAGTCTGTATCCTCCATCCTAAACCCTAGGCCCTCAGGGAAATGGAATCTGCTAGCCTCCCCAAACTTATCTACTCCTCAGCTAGACACTTCACATTTTTTTCCTTCTTCCTGAAATAGCTGGTGTATCTCCCTCCTAGGCTGTGAAGTCCTCAAAAACAGGGACTATGTCTCCATCTCCTCTGTAATCTCTGTGCCTGGACCAACACTAGGGACATAATAGGTATGTTTGATGTATGAGAAAATGATAGATGGAGAAAAGATTAGGTGAATGGATGAGTGTGGATTTGTTCTTCAAAAAAAATACGTATGGACTGGAGATGTAGCTGAGTGAAAGAACATTTGCCTAGCATCCACAAAGCCCTGGGGTTGATCTTCATCACTGCAAAAAGATTTTATATATATATATAAAGTACACATATATTATATATATAGTATACATGTATTATATATACATATATTATAGTATACATATATATAGTGCACATATATTATAGTACACATGTATTATATATAGTATACATATATTCTATATGTATATATGCATCCACTATGCATCAGGCTATGTCCTAGATGTTGAAGATACAGCAAGCACAAGATAGACCAAATCTATTTATTATGCTCCATCCCTGAATGGATAGAGGATGGATGGATGGATGGATGGATGGATGGATGGATGGATGGATGGATGGACAAATGGATGAGGATAGCAGCACCAAGCTAGGGCATCCCTCCCTCTGGCTAATTTCTTTCCCAGAAGGAAAGAAAGGAGGTAGAGAATGCTACATTTGGGGATATTTTCCTTAAAAGCTGTTTCTCTCCTCTTATTGCTGTTATATACTTAGGTAGAGAAAAAATTTTAAATTTTAAAACCCTGTTAATTGGGCATTCTGAAAGTAGAAGGACCAGGAAATGGTGAAAATATTCATGAGCGCTTGAAAGAAAGATCTCCCTAGAATAAATCAAAGTACAGAGCGTTATCACCAGACTCCAAAGAGTCCTGACAGTCTCCTCTTCCTCTCTCTTGATTATCCAGAGCCACTTATCTACTCATTCCTGCAATTATTCAAGAATGCTTTCTCCCTCCCAGACAGTATTAGTTGTGCAAGTGACCAGTCAGTGTCTGTCCCTAAAGACCGCACAGTTCTGCGGAGGAGGAAGGGACAGAAACACATGCCCACGGATAGAGAAGTGGAGGAACATGGCAGCTGGTGGAACATTCCCTCCTGGTGGAATCAGAGAGCCCTGGGAGAAGTTACCTCACATCCTTTAGCCAGGGCAAATCCACCCCCTAGGAGCAGCACAATGCCCCAGGGCACTTTTTCCTGGGTCACCTTCCAATCCAGCAGAGGTGGGGGATAAAATGGAGTTTTCATTTCTGACAAGAAAAAGCAAACACACACACAGTCCAGAACAGCATTAGAAAACAAAGGACACATAATTGGAATAAAGCCAGTAAGGATAACGAGGTACCAGCTTATACCTATAAATTAGCTAAATTTACCATAATTATTGTACCCATTGCTGAGGAGGATTTAGTAAAACTGCTGTGTGCTCTGCTGATGGCATTTTAAATTGCAACAACATTTTTGAAAAGCATATACTTTTAAAACTAGTAAGACATTTATAATATTATTTTACCCCAGCAACAACATTGCTAAAAATATATTCTAAAGAAGAAACACCCTCGAGCCAGGCATGGTGGCGCACACCTGTAATCCCAGCACTCGGGAGCTGAGGCAGGAGGATCATTGTGAGTTTGAGAGCAGCCTGGGCTACAAAGTGAGCTCAAGGCCAGCCTGAGCTGCATAGCGAGACCCTGTCTCAAAAAGACAAAAAAATTTTAAAAAAAGAAGAAACACCCTCAAAGGAAAAGCTATCAGAAAACATTAATTTATTATGATGAAAAATTCAAAACAGGCAAAATGTCGCAGAGCAGGAGAATGGTTACAGCCCCTCCAATATAGTGCTTTAATAGAGAAAATAGTAAAAAAATTTTATAATGTGGTCCCAAACAAAATCAAAAAACCCAAATAAAGATATAACGTTCAAACTGTATGTGCTTTGATTATAACTATATAATATATATATATATATATATATATATATATGCTTATTAACAAAACAGGGAAGAAGAGAGGAAACAATAAAAAAGTACTGATGCCATTGAGGGAAATTTGAAACACACTTTCTAACCCTCTTGTAATATGAGCAAGATTTCACATGTTTAAAGAGCAAGAGAAGAAGTTTTGCGCTACGTAACACCACTATTGGCTTAGAAACCTCCATCTCCGCAGGCTTCTGTAGCATGGTCAGTCTTCTTCAGAGGGATGGGATTCTCTCCTCTCATGGGCCCAGAGCCCTTCCATAGAGATCATCCACTGCCCTGAAGCCCCAATCCAGATAATTGGAAGGCTGGCACAGGAGCCTTACCTTCCTCAGTCTGGCTGCAAAAGTTGAACTTGGGCTTCTGTGAAGGTACAATGAATAGCAAGATGGCCACAAAGATGGCCACAGTGGCATCACTGGCATACCTAGGCAGGAAGGAGCATGCAGGAGTTTAGCCCAGCTGGCCTGCTACTGTGACAGCCATGTACAAACCCATCCTAACTCGGCCAGCTCTGTATCTAAAAGCTTCTGTATGGAGAAACAGACTCCCTGGGTGTGAAAACTGGAGCCCCCAAAGCCAAGATCAGGTTGGTGTGAGAGACTGATCCTGGAAAGAAACCAAGATGCCCCTGTTCTTTTTTTGTTTGTTTGTTTGTTTGTTTGTTTTTTTTTTTTTTTTGGTTTTTCTCCGGTACCGGGAACCGAACTCACGACCTTGCGCTTGCCAGGCAGGCGCTTTGCCGCTGAGCTAAATCCCCAGCCCCTGCCCCTGTTCTTGGCTGCCAAATTTTTGGATGACTCTCAGCTGCTTACTTGCCTCTCTCACCCTACATTGCTTCACAGGTGAACTTTGTGGTTCTTTAGAATACAGGACTTACCAGGGTGACCTCAAGGACTTCGGCGCTGACCCCAGCAGGCCAAAAAGGAATGGCCTGCTGCAGGCAGCATCTACCTGCCTGCATGTCCTCCTTTTTCTAGGATATACAAGTTTGTTTCTCAACCTTTCTTCCATGCTGAAAAACATCAGGGCCAGCAGAGAAACTCATTTAGGTCCCTTTCGGAAGTTTCTATCTAAGAAGCTTCTGAACCTTGGGATGTGACTTGGGGGGGATCTGAGGAAAGACCAAAAAGGAAGATGGCAGAGCAGAGGTTTGAAGCCAGAATCCTAGAAGACCTAGTGCCAGCCAGATAAACTATCTGTACCAGAGCTTGGGCCACCCTACTTGCCCGTGCATTTTCTGCAGAGGGTGCTGCAGAAACAAATGCTTTTTGCTCTTACCGTAAATAACTGGTCAGAAAGGAAAATGAATTATGAAACCAACAAAGTTCTTTCTATAACCCAGTTTCAGAACAAAGGGCCCAACCCCACACCTTCCTCTGGCCGCTGCACCAGAGAACAGCAGCGTCTAGGCACCACTGTAATGAAGCAGGGGCTTCTGCCAAACAAACAACTTACATTTTCTTATCCTCTGTCCAGGCAATGGACACCCAGCCTGGCATGAAACCGGGGTCACGGGAGAACCACAGGCCGATCAACAGGAGGAAGCAGACCAGCACGTTGACCTCAGCGAAGGACAAGGGTCCCAGTTTCCTGTACTCCTCCTGCAGCACCTCATAGGCGGCCTTCTCCTTATTCCTGCTCTGTGTCCCACAACCACAGGATTTCTTAAAACTGGAGAATGCAAAGACGAGAGAATGGCAGGACAGATGGGTTTTCTCAGGCACCGGTGAGACAGAACCCAAATATTGTACAGAACCCAAATATTCCACCTGGAGCAAGTCTTCCTCCCTCTTTCTTCCTATCTGCCTCCTTCCCTCCTAGGACATCATGGGGAAAGTTTGTGAATAGGTAGATATAGGAGTGGCCAGTGCATTCCCTAGGGAGGCTTTCAGAGCTTGGGGTTATTCACCCAAAGGAGGCTTGAGATGTTGGAGGAGAGGGGGTGGCTCTCAACCAGGCCTCAGGGGTGGTCACTGCTGGAAAGGAAAGAATGGCCAGGAGGACGAGAAGCTGAGCAGAACAAAACAGTGAGCAAGACAGTGGAATACAGAAATAAGCGAAACTGAGGCTGTCACTAGCAAGGGGGACCTGGCAGGTTCCTGGTAACAAGGGCAGGAAGGAAGCTGGCCCAGTCTCTGTTCTTGCACAGACCTCTTAGGGTGGCCCATTGGTAGACGGACCCAGCCAAAGTGCCATGCAGCACCTCCCCTCGTGTTGCTGTTGATCTGAGTGGGCAGAGAGGAGGAGGGGTTTGTGGAGGAGGCACAGAAGGTAACTCAACAGTAGGGAGAAGTAACTGGGACCACTGATGCATGGGGTGTAGACACCAGGGTGTTCTCTGAGGATTCCATCTACACATTGTGCCCACTGTTGGTCTGAGCAGGTGGGCAAGGCCAAGAGCATTATCCCTGAAGAGTCTTCCCTGCAAGAGTCCTTCAGGTGCCTAAGATAAAATTCACAGGACAGATGGGGTTGATGGAACATGTGCTGGTTCCCAACATCAGGGCTGAATGTTAACTGCCTTTGAGAACATGAGGGCCATGTTAGTGGTGATGGTATGGTCTATGGCATAGGGGCACTAGGACATCAGGACATGGCCTCCTGGGAGCTCAGAGTTCAGAAAAGAAGTAGCAGTGATAGCACCTCAAGTCTGCACAGCTGGCCAGACCTCCTTGCTGGACAAGAGGCGTGAGAGATCGTTGGGCATGGGGATGATGGTGCTCTCATGGGAGGGAACCTCTCTGCCATCATTGGCTCCATAATCTATGTTCTTCCAACCACTGACTTGCTGCCATTGTCGACTTAGAATAAGAGGTTGTACCACAAGCCTAAGATTCCCAGGATTATTCCTAGTTGCCTAGCATGGGACAGGCAGTAAGAAGTCAGAGTCTGAATGGTCCTGACAACATGTCCCCAGTACGACAGTGGCTACAAATTCTGAGGCTGTGTAGAATACTCAGTCTTCTGGCATGTTTACCCATAGTGGCGTCACCACCCCTTCTCACCCTCTTATGCTACGTAGTTTCACTCTCATATCTGTGTGCCTTTCATCTGGTGACTACTGGGCTGGTATAAGATGCAGGATCTGGCTGGCATGTGGGAACCCTGGAGCTGGGCTGAAGGCCACGTATCCTTAAAGAATGGCCTTCACCGTGAGGCATCATGGTGAATTTGGACTGAATATACTTTGAAGCCAAGGAGAAGAGAAGGGATCCTTGAGTCCCCATGTGTCTCTGCCATACCAAGGAGGGGCTTAGAAGAACCCTCATCAGGACATTCATCCATCTTTCTGGTGTTTAGCCTGGTTGTGATGGGTCAACCCAGCAGGAATATTCCATATCATTCTTAGCAGCCCTGGGAGGGGGACGGTCCCAGACAGTCTTGGATGAATATGATCTATGAGGTTGCCCACAACCTTAGCAAGACAGTTTTTCTGGATTAAACTAGAGGTCAAGACCTTGACATTGTTCTCCATGATGATCCCAATAAGAAATTTAAGAAAAAGTAAGACAGACAAGCAACGTTAGGTCTTCCTTCAGCTGAACTGTGTTCTTTGGCCTGAGGTGATATGATCCAGGAGGACATAGAAGTGGACAGGGATCATGGTACGCTGCACTACTGCCATCATCCTGAGTGTCACAATCTGTCCTTTACCTTCCAGACTCAGGACTGATGGGCTGCCTGTGACCCAATGCCTGCTCCACGTTCAAGAGAGGGCACCATGTTGCGGAAGGGTGAGCTGGGTAAGAGCTCTGCTCCGCCACCACCAGCGGGTTCTGCGGGCCCCAGTGCAGCACACCAGGTGCCCTGTAGGCTCTCTCCTGGTCCAACAGACCTGACAGAGGCTGCGCCAGGCAATGGAACTACAGTTTTAAGTTCTTGGCTGGGTTTTCAGGAACATGGCATCTACCTCCATTGCTAGATGGTAGGCTGATGGTGCCCTTGTGCTAGGGCAGCTCTGCCTTCTTACATGGCCTTGAAGCTTTAGGGAAGCTCCCAGGGCACAATTAGTGCTCCTGAAACCTGGAACACTTGGACCCTGAAGCTGTCCAGGGCAGCAACCCTTGGCCTCCCCAGAAGGGGATGTAGGATTGTGGTTGGAAAGCACAGGCTTTGCAGAATTGCCTGCATGCCAGTCTCAGGCCTCCATTCCCATGCCACACCACCCTGCATAGGCTATTTAACCTCTCCAGGCCTCAGCTGCCGCATCTATAAATTGGACTGATAATAATAGTACCTACATCATAGGTTGTTGTGAAGATTACTGAGATTCATAAATGTAAAGCATTTAAAATCGAGTCTGATAGATCATATGCACCAACAAGTGTTGGTCATTGTGATTTCCACTGTCCCGTGAGGACACGCAGATGCCTACCTGCAGCAGGTTTGGGACCATCTCCTGACAGATTGGCTGGTAGGATATGAGTAAATGGGCAGGACTTTGGTCCTGGCACAGATTTGAGAAGCAGAGTAAAAAGAGCTGTGGTCGGAGCCAAGTTGTGCCAGCCAGCGAGGAGGGAAGCAGCTTCCCTCTCATCGGGAGTAGGGCAGGAGGGCAGTGGACGAGAGGCCAGTGGGTGGTATGGGAGTGCTGCCTCTACTATTAGATCTCTATTCTATCTTGAACGCAGTGATTTTTAAAGTGATTTTCAAAACGGTTCCTCCTCCCCTTCACAAGAAGACAGGAAAACACACCATTTTCCCCTTTAAATCACAGGTTTCCACCGGCACCTTTTCTTCACCCCACTGCTTATAGTCTGCCTTGTGTTTTACTCGGCTCAAGTTCCCTGTGAGGTGAGGCCCAGCACAGACACATTTAGCTCCTAGCTCAGTCCTTTCCACCCCTTGTAGCACAATCACCTTTGTGCTGCAGACACACTTATGCCTTTTAAAATAACAACATTTTAGAAAATATTTGTTAGCCACGCGTCATGGTTTCTGTCCAAAGTCTGGCCGCTGTCAAGGGTGACTCTGTCTGAACTTGACCGTGTGCTGGGAAGAGGAGGGTAAACTTTCTAGGACAGAAAACTGCTGGGAACACTGCAGGCATTCAGCGAAGCTCTGGCTTTGGATTGATTTGGACAGTATCAGAAGGCGGCTGTGACCTGGCCTACTAGACGCAAGCAACCGAGTGGAAGTTTGTCCAGCAGCATGGACAGGGCATGTGGGGACAGGTTTCTCTTTAACCGCTTTAGGCGCGTTGATGGCACACTTGCTCTTTCTCCCTGGGTTGGGAGCCATTCTGGGTGCAGGGGTCAGAGAGGTCCTAGAAGAGCTCAAAGTCAAGGGGAAGGGGCAGCACTGGAATCTGAAGGCGGGTATTGCAGGTCTAGAGCTATGATATACCCAGGGGCAGCTCTGAATAGGAAGCAAGTTCTTCTGAGACGGGATGGAGGCGAGGGGAAGTAGAGGAAGGGGTATCCGGGAAAGCAGCATTCGAACTGGCTGGGGAGTAGGGCTGGTTGGAAGGTAGGAAACAGTCACCCAGGCAGAGGGAACAAGGTGTGCAGCCTAGGAAGGCGGGAGTGGGGAATCGTCCCCAGATGAAGACCTTCATAGACTGACTGGAGGCTGAGGGTTTGCTGAAGGGTGTGGCGTGATTAGAGCATATTCCAGGAGCTGCTCAAACTTACTTGAATCTCATGTAAACGCACTGGAGCCACAGCCAGGAGAGTAGCAGCATCATCAGCATGTTGGGGAAGGCAAATCCAAACCAAGACGCAAAGTTCAGCAGATCCTTACTGTCAGGAAACAGTCTGAAAGGAAAGTCACTGGCCTGTACCTCAAGCCAATGCTGAGCTGCGGGAAGCAGTTTGGGCCCTGTGGCTGGAGGCTGAGCACTTGCTGGACACTGAGAGGTGGGCCCAGTTAGGGGCTACATCCTCGTGGGATCCAGTCACCCAAGTTCCATTACCCACATTATCCTCTAATCACATGTAGACCCGGAACACAGCTATGGCACAAGAGGAGGCTGAGGAATGACCAATCAACCCTTCTGTGGATCCAGACCCTGCTGAAAATCTCATAAAACTTATTGTCCAGCCCTCTAGAGAAATATAGCTTTGTACACGTGGACGCATAATTTAGCCAACAGCCTCAGGGGATGCACAGATGCCTTAGGGCTCTCCCCATGTGGGTTTCTGCAAAGGAAGGGCCCCCCTAGGAAAGAAAGACGTTTCCTAGGCCCCACCTCCCAACCCAGGCCTCTGTCATCCCAGGGTTGCTCCCTTTAACCCAAGAGAGTCAAAGCAGACACACAGTGTTCTCCACTCAGACCAGACTCCTCCAGAAGAATTTAAGGGAGAACCCTAGAGATGTCATTACGGAGAACACTCCCAGGATCAAAACAGTCTGGCTGTTGAACCTCAAATTTCTGCCCTGTTGGGCTGCAGGCCTGTTCTTTCTGCTTCTAGTACACTGGCCAGCTGCCCTCTCCACCCCTATCCAGAGCTCTAGTCTGCACCACTTTATTTGTGTCCTGATCACTGCAATTTGTACATACCTCAGTGCGCTTGTTTACCAGATCAGCCTGGCTGTCCCCAGCATGTGGCACCCTCCACAGACCCTCAGAACTTCATGGCAGGCTCAGACTTCTCTCACTTTTATGACCCCCGACCCACCCAGCACAGGGCCAGACACAGATACACGGTCCTCACGGCCAGGGTCCCTTTTTGCCCATAGCTGGAAAGTTCCCAACTACCTTTAGGCCCCGCCTGGTGCCTTGCAGGGGAAAACACATCACCTCAAGGGCAATTAGTGGGACTCACTAGCTGAAGCAGTGAGGCAATAAGTGACCAAATCCCAGTTCTCCATCCATCCACAGAACTCAGCATCATAGGACCAAGGCCATTAACCAATGTTAGTGGGCCAAGGGGCCTAAGGGGTTCTTCTAGAGATGTTGATTTTCTGCAAACTTTAACCCAGGTATGGGGCTGGGGATGTAGGTCAGTGGCACAAGTGCCTGCCTAGCAAGCACAAGGTCCTGAGTTCAATTCCCAATACCAAAACAAACAAACAAAACCCAGGTGTGTATGCTCCATTGTCCTCTCCCTGTTGAATCTACATTCCCTGTCTGGGCTAGCATGTCTGCACCCAGGAAAAAGGTGGGGCTCTCTCCAGGGCACAAAGCAACCTTGCCCATTAGCTTCCATGACTTCAAGTCCCCATTCCCTTGAGTGCTTCTGAGTGGTGCAGAGGTGCTGGGACACAGAGGCTGGGTGGGGTACAACCCACCCCCGCTGGGCTCCCCACTCCAGCATCCGTCTGAGGAGGAGGGAAAGGTGAGTAGGTCCCTCTGCCTGAAAGGGGCCCACTCTGATGCTCCTTGAAAGTACAGCCAATGACTCACTCATTCATCTGGCCCAGGAGCACCACGTTGGGTCCCGTCCCGGTCAGGGTGGCCGTGCCCCCGATGCTGGCTGCATAGCACACGCACAGGTTCATAGCCTTGCACGTGTTCTTCCTGTCCTGGTTCTCCTGCTTCTCCTTCATGGGGTCCTCAAAAGCCACTTGGTTCTCTGTGGTGGGCATAGCACTGTTAGCTGAGCCAGTCGTGGAGGGCCGCCCAGCAAACCCCAGCTCCTGACCCTGCTGCTAACCTGAGGACAGGGACATCCCCACCCTATCAGGGCCTCCACACGCATTCCCCATCCTCCAGCTGAAGTCGTAATCAGGCTCCATATGTCTGCCCACAGTCACTTCCCATGGCTTCCCTAGGACTCCCCCGTGCTCCTGCCAAACTCAGCAACTTCAGACATGAACCATGTCCCCTCTGTCCTGACCCCTTGCTGTTGCTCAGGCTGCTCCTTACATGTCCAAATCTACCTCAGATGCCTCTTCTCCTAGCAAAGTTCCTCCCACTCCTGAGCTTCTGAAGTATCCAGTTTATGGCATGCCTGTGGCCTGCACTAGGCAGAAGCCTCTTGTGAGGGGCCCATTAATGTCATCCCACCGGGCTCCAGGATTCAGAGCTGATGCATTTCTGGTCAGCTCTGCAACCCCAGACCTCACCTAGGGTCTGGCAACGAAGCAATCAGCCATGGGTCCTGAGTTCCCCTGTGCAGGGTCCTGGGGATGAGTAGGGAGTAAGCAAAAGGCAAACCGTATGGGTGCGCCCTTGTATTCCCTGGGTTCTATACCTAGCAGGAAGCAACACAGGTAGGGCACCAGCCCCAAGATCTGTCGGAGCAGAACAGAGGGATATGATCTGCTTGAGGTCAGAAAAGGCCTCTCTGAAGACCATAGATGGAGCAAGAGGTAAGGGGCACCCAACTGGTGCTCAAAAGATGCCCTGATGAATAATCAAATAAGCATGTAAGTGATTTCTGTGATTGGCAGGAGCTGAGCGTAGAACCTTGTTATAAACTCTTACTAATGGAAATGCAATGTTCTAAGCACTACTAAAGGATTAGGAGGGGGGGTAGTACTGGGTTTTGAACACAGGGCCTTCACATTAAGCTATGTGCCCAGCCCACTGCTTATTGTTTACTTTTTGAGACAGTCTCTTGCTAAGTCAGTATCTTGTCCAAGCTGGGCTCAAACTTGCAATCCTCCTGCCTCAGCCTCTGAGAGTTTTGAGATTACAGGTATGCACCACCATGCCTGGCTCTAAAGGACCAAACTTTTTTTGCAACAATCACACTCCTAAAACTTATGAGAGCAGTATTTCCTAAGTTGCTTTTGCTATTCATCTTTTAAAAGGATCTACAGAAAATAGAGAGGAAGAAAGGGACCATTTGGCAACAGAGGGAACCCGCCACTGTGTTCCCTAGAGTGCCCTGGCCAGGGGCTCACCCGACAACTGTCCGGCCTTGCCCTTGTCCGCCAGCTCCAGTGCCCCCAGGCTGGCCTCCGAGGCTGCGTTTGTGGCTTCCATCTGCTGTAGCACGGCCTCTACAATGGGCACCATCATGGCCGTGGTGGCCGTGTTGCTGATCCACATGGACAGGAAGGCTGTGACCGTCATGAAGCCCAGCATCAGCCTGCAGAGGAGAGGCAGGGAGGAAAGTCACGGAGACCCCCACCCCAAATCCATGTCTCCAAGAGACCCGTTTTGCCAGCCAATCAAAACGGAGAAAAACCAAAAAAAAAAAAAAAAAAAAAAAAAAAAAACCTGAGTATTCCAATAGGGAATTTCAATTTGAGTCCAGGCTTCTTTCCCTGCTTCCCTCCTTCCTTTCTACTCCCTACCCCCGCCTCACAAACATTACTGAGGTTTACTCTGCTGGCTACTAAAACACGATACCCCAGGCCCAGCTCTTTTTTAAAATTTTATTTATTTATTACTTTTTGTCTTTTTGAGACAGGGCCTCACTATGGAGTTCAGGCTGGCCTTGAGCTCACTTTGTAGCCCAGGCTGGTCTTGAACTTGTAACAATCTTCCTGCCTCAGGCTCCTGAGCGCTGGGATTACAGGCGTGCGCCACCACACCCGGCTTTAATTTTATTTTGAAAAGAAAAAATAAAACAAAATTTCAAAACAAGATAATAGGAGAGGGACAGATTAATATATTGTGTATTGTTATCTTTAAATTAGTTACTCAGAGTACAAATATAGGCACTGTATTGTCCAAACAACATTAGCACAACTTTGCAATGAACTAAGAGAAATTAGTAGTATAACTATCTTAACTACCATATATATATATTTTTACTTTTCCTTCCTTTTTTCCCCTTTTCCCCAGCCCAGTTTCTCTTTCTTTTTGAATAGTTCCTGCTCTGATTCCAAGGAACTCCTGTCTCTCGGGAGAAGCACAGACATCCAGATGGTGCCAGCTCAATATGGATGGCATGTCCCAAGTACGACCCAGCTATGTGCAGGCAGCCCCAGCTTCCTACGTGGCTCTAGAAGACCCTCCCCATCCTAGGCCGTCTCTCCTTTCCTAAATTTCAAAGGGTTACGCAGATAGCCTGCAGGGGTAGGGAGAGCTTGGGGAAGTGTGGCCTTCCTTGGGGCTCCCACCCCCACTCCCCCACTCCATGCCACCCCCACCCCCGCTCCCTCCACACCACACTTTGTCATGGACCAAATCAAACTGTTCAGAAAACACATCCCCTTTGCTTCGAACCCATCATCTTTTACTGCTGCTCTCACTGCGCTACCTACCTAGAGAGCCCTGCGTGGTCCTTCAACACCCTCTCAGACATTGGTCCTCCTCTGTGGCCTGCCTCAAGTGCCTGCCCAGTGGGGCAGGTCATACCCTTCTCTATCTTCCCCCCTGTACTCATCACTGGGTAGGGTCCAGAGGATCAGTGTCCATGCCTGCTCTGTTTTTAGACTGAGAGTAGGGCAGGGCCTACTTCTTCCCCAAGGCTTTACATGTCTTTGCACTTCCCCAAGGCTTTACAGACCAGGAGCAGAAGGCCCTTAGGGAGGACAGCAGAGTAGAATTTAGCTGCTCTGTGTCTCCAGACCCTTCTGCGCTCACACCCTCCTTCAGAGCTGCTAATTTGCCTGAGGGAAGGCCCCTGAAGGAGAGCCTGGGCGTGCACTGTACTAAGGTTCAAGCTGGTGTCCTCACAGACTGATCTCACAAACCCGTGAAAATAAAGACCAGCACCCAGGCTTTACTCGCAAACCAGGCACTGCTTGATCCAGACTCCACCCAGCTTGTTCCCTGTGGAACCCTGCAGCCACACCCTCAGGGAGCCCCCCAAGCCCGCCAGGCGTCTTGCTGACCAGCCTCCTCACCACCTGCTGCCACCGTGTGGGTACCTGGTCTCCAGCTAAGGTTGAAACACACTCCACCCAGGGACCAGCCTGCCACATCCCGATAAGCTGTGGCAAGCCCGCCCTCACCCCTGGAGGATGGCTGGTGTGTACCACACTCCTCTCCCCAGCCCTGGAGCCCATGCAGACCACAGCGCCAGAAACAGAGGTGTAATTACCGTGCGGGCTTGGCTCCCACCCAGAGCAGCGTGCGCAGCGCGATCCTCTTATGCAGGTTCCAGCGCTCCACAGCCACCGCCACAATGAGGCTGCCCAGGAACAGCATGTTGGTGTCCTTCATGTACTGCACGCATACCTGGAGGGCAGCGTGGAGGCCCGGTCAGGGCACCCCCTTCCCCCAGCCGCATGATGCTTGGGCTCAGAGCCACCCAAGTCCCCAGAGACAAGCTACCAGACCAGATGCTGACTGCAGGGCCAGCTCGGAGTAGCATGTCTCCATTCCTGGGGTAGCCCCAGAGGGGTGTGTCTGGCCTGGACAGCTCAGAGAGGGGCTTGGAAAAGGCAGGAGTCTATGAGAGAACCAGGAGGTCGCCACGATCCCTGTGTCTGCTCACCTCTTTGGAGTCCAGTATCTGAAAGAGTGGGAAGAGCAAAACAGGCATGAGGGAGGTGACGGCCACCGGGATGACGTCTGTGCACCAGTAAATGGCCATGAGGATGATGACGTAGGCACACCTGACAAACTGAAGAGACACCCCTGAGTCCTTGGCAGGCTCCACCTGCCCCGTCTTCAAATCACCAGAAGGCAGCTGGCAGGGCTTCCCATCAGAGGGCGTCCTGGGTCCCCAGTCAGCACAGCTCCCCGGGTTCAGGCCAGCAGGGACACACAGTCTGCCATCCAAAGACTCCTGTGCCCACTCCCCGCCATCCCCGCCTCCTTCCCAGCCGTGTTCATCCACGTTGTCAAACTTTGGATTGCTCACTTCTCCAAAAGAAAGAATAAATTTGGGAGGAAAAGGAAGAAGCAGGGGGCTGGGAGTAGAAGAGAGAAGGAGGTGGCGCAGAAGAGGAAAAGGAGAAAGGGGGAAAAGACAAAATGCCATTTTGAATGACCAGCTTACACAAAACTCTGCAGAGAATCGCAATCTTCTCCATTCGCAAATTAAGCACAATTCTCTCCACACTCTCTCTCAACCTTACTTCCTTTTCTCAACATCTATTACAGTGATTTCTTCATATTGCTACATGAGCTTCATACTGATTATTTTTAAAAGTGCAAATCTTCCAGAAGTTTGATGGGCCACGTCACTTCTTTATCCTCCCATAGCCAGCGGAACGTGGTCTCCTCTACCCTCTGGGGCCACCCTGCTTTATTGGTTCACTTATTTTTAAGTCTGTCCTTAGGAGAGGTTCCCTGATGCATCCCTCAGTTCACAACACCTGGTCCTCACTTCTTTCTCACAGGGCTGCTCCCAGTCTCCCCGCTCCCTGAGATGCACCTGCAGACCAGCTCACCCAGAGAATCACCAGCACTGTCTCCCACGTTTTCTGCTTTTGTCTTAGTACAGTTAAAATGATGATGCTTGATGTTTTGACATCTCTCCCTTTCAAAGACCTCCAGCTTTTACTGTTTGCATTTAATTTTGCATGGGTTCCCTAGTCACATCCTCTGCCGCTTACCAGTGGGATCTTAGCTCTGGAGGGAGACACAGCTGGATTCCATGCAAGCACTCGCTTCCTTGCCCTTCACTCACTGTAGGACTTGGAGAAAGTCATGAACACCTTGGCCTCAGTCTGGTCACCTATTAAGCTGTGGGTAACAATACTGCCCTCCCTAGGCTCTTTAGTGTTTCATCACAACTCTTACTATAACCTTTATGAATTATCCAGGCTCTGCCCTCATCCTCATTCCAATCCCCTCCATTTAACTCAGGCAGGAAGGCTTGTGGCTTCCATCTCCTCATTCATGGGCCTCATTCCCTCTACTACCTTCATTTTGTCAGAGTGAACCTACAGGAGGCCGTTGTTTCAGATCAGGCTTCTGCGTTAGGTCCCAAGGGACTGGACAAAAATCAAACCAGAGTCACTCCTGCTGAGGTTCCCTGTCACCAAATCCAGCCAAGTTGTTATCTAATCTCCTCCCCCTCCTTCTTCTTCTTTGATTTGTAATGAAATTTTATTAGTTACAAACGTCATAAAACAAAACAATAAAATGGTCTGGAGCAACACTGAATAACGATCATTAATAATTACAATCTCATAACTGGAAGTAATCATTACGTATAAAGACACACATATGTGAGCATGACTGGCCACACACCTTAACTTTTTTTTTTTGGTCTTTTTTTTTGAGACAGGGTCGAGATTAGCTCAGGCTGGTCTTGAACTCGCAACAATCCTCCTGCCTCAGCCTCCTAAGTGCTGAGATTAGATTACAGGTGTGCGCCACCACGCCTGACTATACCCACTTTAACCAAAGAGCATAAACAAGGATGAAGACTTGTGCTACTACGTCACTGCCATCAAGCTAGTCTCAGCCCCTCTTCCTCTACATTCCTCTACCCCGTTCAAGAACTGGTCTCAAGAACCAGAAAAGGGTTAGTTTGGATAAATGATCAGCTTCTCTCTATTCCCCTGGAGGAGATTCAGGATTTCTACCAGCCACTGTTAGCAATTCTTCCTCTAGCAGAGCTTCTAGATTTGTGTCAACATTTTAGGTTAGCTAACTTGCAAAAGATAAAAACGGGTTGTTTCATAAACCTATTTAAGAACGAACTCTACATAATGGCTTTCTATCCTAAATGGTTGCATAACTCTTGACAATTTGTGAATGAGCCTCTCTCTCCCGAACAATTTTTTCACTAGCTCTTGTTCCTAAGTATTTTCTTATATCCTAAACTTACTTCATTTCACTACTATATTTCTAATTCTGTTTCACACAGCAAACATACTTAATAAAACAATCTCTTCCTTGGAGTAGAAGTACATTTTAACAATTCTTAAACACAAAAGTCACAAAATCAAACAAACACTGAAGTATGTCTAGCCCCAAGGTGGCATTATAGTGCAATCTTTCCAGGAATCCTGGTACAAAAGAGGCTAGCCAGATCCCCCTACTGAGGTTCTAGCATCTTCCTGCTTTGACTCCTCAGGACTGTACTGACAGCTATTTTACAGGCTGGTTCAAATCTTATTTCAAAGCCGGATTCAGCGTGCTCCTCCTGTGAGTAACCTCAGCAATTATCACACCAAATTACTGCCATTGTTCCCTTTACTTTCTCCCTGTGTCACAGGGTTGGGGTTGGGTCTGTGAGATACCCGAGACTGTAATAAGAGATCTATCCCACCCTTTTAAAGTACATTTGCAAAAAAAAAAAAAAAAAGTACATTTGCAGCTGGGTGTGGTGGCACACTCCTATAATCCCAGCACTGGGGAGGCTGAGGCAGGAGGATCGCTGTGAGTTCAAGGCCAGCCTGGGCTACAAAGTGAGCTCAAGGCCAGCGTGAACTGCATAGCGAGACCTTGTCTTGAAAAAGACAAAAAAAAAAAAAGTAAGCTTGTAGTCTGCTGACTCTTGCCACACAAGAAGCATTTTCAGGACACATTAGTGATTCAGACATGAAATGGTTTATTAGAGATAGAAATATAGGACACAGTCAAGAGCAGGGTGTGGCATGCTCAGACAAATGAGGCATGCTGCAGTCAGGAACTGGGGATCTTTATATGTTTTTGGTGGTGGAAATCTGTGAAATTTGATAACCGACAGTCTTAATCTTGTCTAGTGGGTAGGAGAGGATGGCCCACCGATAATAAAATAATGGTTCACTCACATAGGAAATCCTAATTTACAAGGGAAAAGCTGGTTTATTCACAGGTGAAAGAGGATATTTGCAAGTAAAAATAAAATGGGAAAAATCTATTTGTAGGTGAGAGGGAGTTGTCCAAGTTTACTATGTCTTAGGAGAATAAAAAAGAGAAAAACAAATATTGTAAATAAATAAACTGGACTTGAGTCCTGAAGCTGCAATTCTTCTTAAAAGTACAGTTTTAAAAATCTCAGTGTCCTTGTTTCCTTTCTACCTAGTTTTTATTTCTTCTATCCTACCTCACCCACACCACCACCCATGTGCCACTCGAGAATACAAACGGTATTTGTAGATTCACTTTGCCCTCAGCACCCAGCACAGACCCAACAATTCCAAGAGATGCTCTGCAAGTGCTTAGCAAGAGAAGCAAAGGAACAGACCGGCGTCTCCGGAGCCAGACTAGGACCACGATGCTGAGAGGTCGTGCTTGCCCTTTCCTGCCGTCCATCCTCGCCCAAGACCAGGCGACAAGATTTGTAAGACACCGCACCAGCACAGAGACATTCTTCATCTCAGTGGTGTTATCAGTTGTAAAAAAATAAATCTCTCAGGCTGGGGTATAGCTCAGAGGTAGGGTGCTTGCCTGGAATGCGTAAGGCCCTGGATTCAGCTCCTAGCACCACAAAAATAAGTAAATACATTTTTTAAAAAAATGTTTAATGAATCTTTTTCAGCACCTCACAAAAAACTCAGGACACAGCCCTGCTGTCTGAGGCCCTGGCACACTGACAGCTGGACTCAGATGGCTCTTCACCGTGGGTACTGTCCTGTCGTATGTACTGTGAAATGTTCAGAGCACCCTCGCTCTCCTCTCAGGAGAAACCAATAGCATCCTCTCCAGTTGTAGCAACGAAGAGAAGTCTCCAGAACTTGTCACATTTGCTGTGCAGAGGAGAGAAGAATGGAAGGAGTCTAGGGATGGTCACCCCAAAATATGGTGCCCTGGCAAACTAGAGATTTTAAATTGAAGGAACTCAGAGAATAGCATCTGGTAGTAGATGCTGTCTCTACCCCACCATCTCTGGATCTGCTTAAATTCCTGTCCCACCAAGGAAGAAACAATGACCTCTGGTCCCTTCCCTGAACGTTAACAAGACTCATATTACAGTACAAAAGACTGAAGTCTGTCAGCACACCTGGATACAAAGTATGAATTTTAAGGGTCAATGGAGGTTAAGAGCAGGAAAAGTTAACTGAGCAATAGCTCCTGAGAGACAGGAGGAGTCTCAAAAGTGGGTTGCCACAGAGGTCATTCTCCCAAAAACATTTTATAGATCAGAATCATGAGGTGGGTATAATGTGGGTCAAACTATAAATCAACCAATAAGATTACAAGTATAGCCACTTAGCTGATATTGATCTAATAAGGAAGTGAGGCTCATGGCCAGGGCACATGGCTAGCCTCATTATTAACCTTGGCTTATCTTTGACTTTTAAAACAGAAACATCTTTGGGAAAGCATGGGTCCAAATGTTTTGGTCACCCACCACGGTGTCTGATGTCCATCTGGACTTAAAGGACTAGGTGGTACTAATTACAATATAATCTCAAATTTCTATTATGCAGCACTGGCCAACGTGACTTCATCTTGAGGCCTTGCCTTCTTTAGATACGCCTCCAGCCACAATTCTGAAGTCTTGATTTTTTCTGCTGACTTCTTTGAGAGCACAGTCCCTCTCTGACTGTATATTAATTTCTATCTAACTTAGCTGCCTAGAATACAAAGAGAATCATTTCTAACCCATGGTCTGTTGTTCAGGCCAAATGGACTTTGTCCTAGGCCATTATATGTCTCTCCAAGTCCATGAATTCCCCTAAAAATTGTCTACATTCCCCAAAGTCTCCCTGGAAAAAGATATAAAAACTTCAGAGTCCT